TGATCTCATAAAGAATGGAATTATCAGATTATGAGCAGAACCAAGAAATTCCAATGAACAAAAGTGGAAATGGGAGGTGGCGGGGGGGGGGGGGATCAGTCAGGGATCCCATTATGAAGATATGCATGGAGAGAAAATTATCCCTCTGGCCTAATTCAGTTTGGTCTAGTGGTTGAACGCACCAGGCTACAAACTGGGAGGCTGTGAGTTCTAGTTCTGCCTTAGGCATGAAAGTCAGCTGGGTGTCTTTGGGCCAGTCATTCTCTCTCAGCCAAACCCACCTCACAAGGTTGTTGTGGGAAAAATAGGAGAAAGGAGGAGGATTAGGTATGTTTGCCTCCTTGAGTTATTTATGTATAAAAAAAATAAAAGTGGGATATAATATGAATAAAATGCTGAGCCATCCTGTAGTTCCCTTACTGTTGTTTCAGCATGCTCTGTACATTCAGTCATTACAGTTTGCCAACCAGAGTTTACAGCTAAATGTGTTGTATGACTCCGGCCAATTGGGGTTGATTCAATAAATCATAGTTAAGCAAATAATGGTTTAATACAAACAGTGAGCCAATTCTTTTGCTTACTTTCTGCCCAACCCAGTTTTGTCATTGAATAGATGCTAGAAGAACAGTGTAAGAGCCCTCCCCATGAAAGATCCTTTGAGATACGTTTCTTTGGAACTGCTATCCTTTACAACATAGTTCTCTATCTATCTATTGCACAGGTAGGCCTCAACTTATGACCAGTTGCTTAGCAACAGTTCAAAGTTCTCCCTAGAGCAGGCGTAGGCAACCTTGGCTCTTTTATGACTCGTGGACTTCAACTCCCAGAATTCCTGAGCTACCATAGCTCAGCTTGGAAACCTCTCCCTGTCCCCTCAGCATGGCTGGCTCAGGAATTCTGGGAGTTGAAGTCCACGAGTCATAAAAGAGCCAAGGTTGCCTACCCCTGCCCTAGAGCTACTTGCAACCTGGTTTCAAAGTTCTGATACCCTCCCCCATGATCACATGATTGCATCTGGGGCACCTGGCAACTGGCCCACATTTACAGCCATATGCAGTGTCATATGGTCACATGATCACAATTTAAGTTTTCTGCCAGAAACTGACATTTATTTCCAGTTTCTCACAAAAAAACCCATTGGGTACAATGGGTTCGCTTAACAACTGCCACAAAAGAGGCTGCCAAATGGGACCCAGTCAAGTGGTGACATGTTTAGCAACCAGTACAATTTGTGACTGTAGTTTTGAGCTCAATTACAGTCTTAAGTTGAGAACTATCTATAGTTGAACTGTCAACAGTTCAAACCTGTGGGGCTCAAAGTTGACTCAACCTTCCATCCTTCTGAAGTCGGTAAAATGAGGACCCAGATTGTTGGGGGTGATATGGTGATTCTGTAAGCTGCTCAGAGAGGGCTGTAAAGCACAGTGAAGTTGTATATAAGTCTAAGTGCTATTGCTATTACCATTGGAAGTTCTTTATCTCTCCTTCAAGATGCGGAACAGGAAGAGCATTGTTAGTCTTACCCACTCTGGAAAGACGCAGTTTAGATTTGGTTTATCACTGTTGATTTTAATTCTGCAGGAGCTCCTGTTAGACGATGTGTTCCTGAGCATAAGCAGGGTGCTGAAAGAATAGAAAGTATTGTAGAACATCCCATTAACAAAATAAAATATCCCCATAAAATGGTTTTCTGGGATACAGGCAGACAATTAATATATTTGAGGCAAAAGCTAGACTTATTTTGAAATATATGAGGATAGAAAAACTCACTTTTAACCAAACTAGATTTTGAAGAGAGGAAGGGAAGAACAGAAATTTAAATAATATTTAAGCTAAATCTTTAATACTAAGTATAGCATATCTAGCTAGCAATAAGCAGGCGAGAAAGACCAATAGAAACAGGGACAAATAGTAATAGTAATAATAGAGTTGGAAGGGACCTTGGAGGTCTTCTAGTCCAACCCCCTGCTCAGGTAGAAAACCCTATACCATTTCAGACAAATGGTTGTCCAGTCTCTTCTTAAAAACTTCCAGTGTTGGAGCATTCACAACTTCTGGAGGTAGATTTTTCCACTGATTAATTGTTCTGTCAGGAAGTTTCTCCTTAATTCTAGGTTGCTTCTCTCCTTGATTAGTTTCCACCCATTGTTTCTTGTCCTGCCTTCAGGTGCTTTGGAGAATAGGTTGATCCCTTCTTCCCTGTGGCAGCCCGAGATATTGGAACACTGCTATCATGTCACCCCTAATCCTTCTCTTCATTAAACTAGACATACCCAATTCCAGCAACCATTCTTTATATGGTGAGGATCCTACTCCTTATCAATCTCCAGCCATTTGCTGTAGTGGTTAAAACAGCTTATAACAGGAGCCCATTATGGGAACCAAACATGGCATATGGCTTAGCTTTGCTCATCAAACCTCCCATAAGCAACCCATAGCTTTTAATGCAACACCAGGATTTTAAAAGCATCTTATGCAATGCTGAGTCAGAAGCAAAGTTTACTATGATAGGTAATACCAACCAGGTTTTGACCATTCTTTTCGAAAAAGCAGTGTTTGTAAAAGTAGTGGCCCTACTCCATGTTGGAATGATGAAGTACTCAGATGTAGGTAGGAAACTGCACATTTATCAAGGCAAGTTTGGAATTATCTACACCATTGGTTCCCAATGTGGGACCTTTTTTGTTTGTGTGTGTGTCTGTGTGTCACCCACATATAGGGCCACACGCATAAACATGCATATATCATAAACTTTTATGAAAATAAAAAATAAACAAAAAGCTATAGTCAAGAGAGAATATAAATAGTAGATAAAAATGTAAAAAAAATACAGAAACATATAAAAAAGAGTCACTTCTGACTTTTTTTACAGTACATATAAATAAAACTCGAGTTCAACCCTTGCTCTACAATTACAATGTACTCTCCATTTTTTTCTAATCTATATTACGGAAATTCAAATCCATATGCCAATCTATGACCTTCCTAATGGAGAACTGAGTGATTATATGCCATCAAATCATTCTGACTCTACCAGTAGTGACCACATAGATATATTTTCTCCATGACAGCCCCTAACCTTATTTTTCAGGTCTTCCCACATTGGATTTCTTGCCACTGTGACCGAGTCCTTCAATGTCACTGCCAGCTATCCTTTCTCTTTCCTTCCTCTTTTCCCAGCATCATAGATTCTCTGAAGAGTTGGGTCTTTTCATAATATGCCTGAGATAGATGTATCATCAACTGGAGACTGCATGGATAGACCTTTTTCATGACTGTCCTTAATCTGGTCCTTCAAGGCTTCTAAGGATGCATCCATGGCCACTGTAAATGTATCCCCCTAACTCCTGCTGTAAAATATTAGAAGAAATCCAAAACTGAGTGGTTAAGACAGTGAATAAATTCCCCTGTAATAATGTTAGCATTATGGAATTATGAACGGTATGCAAGATTCCAGTTTAGACAGCTTTGTTATATGCTAGCTCAGTGTTTTGAAGCCAGCTACAAGCTAACAGTACGCTTCTATGTACTTTTAACCATATACACTTCAACATTTTCTAGAAAAATCAGGATGCAAAACCTCGGTTTAAAATTAGCATGTAACCCCTTGATATAGTCAGGAATAAGAACAAGACATTTTAAATTCAAGGCAGAAAAGGGATAGAATCAAGATCACGTGAAGTGTTAATACCACTTTACAATGCCTTGGTAAGGCCACACTTGGAATACTGCATCGTTTTGGTCACGACGATGTAAAAAAGATGTTGAGACTCTAGAAAGACTACAGAGAAGAGCAACAAAGGTGATTAGGGGACTGGAGGCTAAAACATATAAGGAATGGTTGCTGGAATTGGGTATGTCTAGTTTAACGAAGAGAAGGACGAGAGGGCACATGATAGCAGTTTTCCAATATCTCAGGGGCTGCCCCAAAGAAGAGGGAGTCAAGCTATTCTCCAAAGCACCTGAAGGCAGGACAAGAAACAACAAATGAAAACTAACCAAAGAGAGAAGCAACCTAGAACTAAGGAGAAACTTCCTGACAGTTAGAACAATTAATCAGTGGAACAACCTGCCTCCAGATGATGTGAATGCTCCAATATTGGAAGTTTTTAAGAAGAGACTGGACAGCCATTTGTCTGAAATGGTATAGGGCAGGGGTAGGCAACCTTGGCTTTTTTATTCTGGGAATTGAAGTCCACGAGTCATAAAAGAGCCAAGGTTGCCTACCCCTGGTATGGGATTTCTTGCCTGAGCAAGGGGTTGGACTAGATGACCTCCAAGGTCCCTTCCAACATTGTTATTGTTTATTGTTGTTACTATTATTAGTAATAATTATTATTATTATTATTAAAAGCCTTACATGGTCTCAGTAGTCCTTTGCTTGTGCAATTGACCATGCTGGTATTTTAAATGCAGCTAGTTCTCAACTTCTGACTGTCGCCTCTTTGCCTCCATGTTCCCTAGCTTTAGAGCAGAGGTAGGCAACCTCGGCTCTTTTATGACTCATGGACTTCAACTCCCAGAATCATAAAAGAGCCGAGGTTGCCTACCCCTGCTTTAGAGCCTTCAGAGAGCCGGGTCTTCACATCACGTGTCCTAAATCAGATAATCTGAGCCTGGAGCGAGCCCTTTGGGGGGATTTCTCTGGGGGACAACTTTTGCTCCCCAACTAGGTTAGTAATCCATTCCATCTGGAAAGCTCACGCTTGATCCAAAGTAATCCAACCAGACTCTCGATGCCCCCCCCCCCAGCCTGAGCCAAGAATTCTTCCCACCCCCGGAGAGCGAAGCCTTCGCGGCAACGCACCGAACGCGGCCCTCCAATTTTTCCCACGTGGACCAGCATCCCGGACGGGCGCGGCAGGAAGAGCCAATGAGCAACCTTGCCACCCCCCCCCCCGTGCCCTCGGTTAGGAAAGAGTTAGGGAGCGGCCACGCCCTTTGAGGGGGCCGGGGACGAATCAGAAGAGAGGGGGCGGGGTCGGGTGGAATGTTGTGAAGGTGGAAGTGGAACGCTGCGTGTTGAGTCGCCGAGGCGGGCAGGAGGGGAGGGCAGCGATGGGGAGCGAGAGCCGGACCGGCGACGCGCAGTGCCGTGATTGACGGACGGGACGGCGGAGAAAGGTGGATGGTTGTGGCTTGCCAGGTTATTATTGCTTGTAGCAAGGAAGCCGGCGAGTGCGGATAATGCGGAATATAATGGACTGAGAAGGAAGGGCGGACGGAAGCTTAGGTGAGCTAAGGGCACTGCGGTGCGTTGCCCTGGGATTCCCGCCGGATTTATTCCCTCTCGGAGTAAATGGGGTCTCTGAGCCTCGGAAGAATCGGATGATCCACCACGAGCACCAAAGCGCAGAAAGCTCCAGTTTTTTTCGGCCAAAGGGAGAAAAGTGCTAGGCGGGTTGGGGAAAAAAAAAAAAAAAGGATAATAAAAACCTATACCCGGACAGAAATAACTTCGGTTAGAGAGAAAAAGGTTGGTGACTTCCAGGAAGTGTTGAGCGAATTAACCGGGTCCCAGAAAGAAGCGAAGGTGTTGAAAAGATCAACCGGGAGGGTTGGAAGACTTCTGTGAAGGTTGAGAGTTAAACTTGTTGAAAATCTGATCTTCAAAGAATAGTGATATTAATAAAACAAAGGAAAACCGCAGGGAAAAAAACTTGGCTTGGCTTGAAGATTATTGGTGGATGAAGATCTGGGTTTATTTCTTTGGAAGCAGAGAAATGTCACAATCGGAAAGCACCCAACGCCAAGAATCTAAGAAATTTGGGACTGCAAATGTTTCCTGGTGTTTGTTGGACAGCAGAAGGTACAGTCACCTGGTTCATCTGTTCTTGTAAGCCAAACAATTGGATTCAAAGCCAGCTTGAGTGGAAGAAAGGTATACAGTATTCTCCGTTAAGGATCTTTTAAGGACCAAGTATCCCGCGAGACTTTTATCAGTTACCTGTTGGATTGTCTGCTCATCCCCTGGAGGTGTGTGATAAGGGAATAAGGTTGTGCCAGGCTAAATCAGATAGCAGAACAATAGAAGAACCTAATACAGTCGCAAACTGGAAGGGTGAGTTGATAAAATGGCATAGATTTTTTTTTTAATCCTCAGGGGAAGAAAGATAGGGCAGTAGCTGAAGATTTAAAAAGAAAAACACCAGGAAGTGGTAAAGAGGAAAAAAAATAGTAATCAAACTCAGGCTGTTTACCCAGCCTGAAATAAATATGGAGTAAAGATTATAGATGATAAAGGCTCGGTTGGTTCAAAACAACACCAAATTGTTGGAACTGAAGAAGCCATCAAATCACATCTAACAAGAAAAACGGTGGAGTGGTGAATTTCAAAGCTAGGGTATATCCTAAAATGGGGAGAGAAATTGGATCCTTAGAAATTGCCATCTGCAGCATTCTAGACGCCAGTTCTGAGGTTTGAGCTCCTGTTTCTCTCCAATGAATTTAATTCCCCCTCATGCCTGAATAATTCACTTTCTGGATTGCTGTGTTGATCCATTTGATTTCCTTTCTAAATAAGGATTTGGTGGGTTCTGCATGAACCCATGCAGGCCAGGAAAAAATACCTGTTCGTGACTCTCTTGGCCACGTGGCTTCTGCTTGTTTTGTTTGGGGGAGACCAAATAAGACACTTGGCCTTTTTCTCCAGCAAAAAAGCTGAAGTCTTAAAGACCTGGCCTCGTTGGGCTGATGAGTTTCTTCTCAAGAACTTTGCAGATTCTGAGGAGCTCCAGAACAATGAAAAGGACCACAGCGACGAATCTCCAAAAAGCCGGCAGCAATTGAGGTTGAGTGTTTACAAGAACAGCAGGTGCCGAATGGAGACTTGCTTTGATTTTTCCAAATGTAGGGAACACGGGTTCAAAGTCTTTGTTTACCCCCTAGAAGGAGGGGATCCTATATCGAAAAGTTACCTCAAAATCATCAGCTCCATTGAAGAGTCACGTTATTACACCTCAAACCCGGAGGAAGCGTGCCTGTTTGTTCTAAACATTGACACACTGGATAGGGACCATCTCTCCATACAATATGTCCATAACATCAACGAAAAAATCCAAGGTTTCCGGCTTTGGAATGATGGACAAAACCATCTCATATTTAACCTGTATTCTGGCACGTGGCCTAATTACACCGAAGATTTGGGCTTTGACATTGGACAGGCTATCCTGGCCAAAGCCAGTTTTTATGTGGAGAACTTTCGGCCTGGTTTTGATATCTCCATCCCTTTGTTTTCGAAGGACCATCCTCAAAAAGGTGGGGAAAGAGGCTGGTTATATAAGACTTCTCTCCCACCCAAGAAAAAGTATCTCTTGGTTTTTAAAGGGAAGAGATACCTGACCGGCATTGGTTCCGACACCAGGAATGCTCTCCGCCACATCCATAATGGTAAAGACATTATTTCTCTGACCACATGTAAACATGGGAAAGACTGGGAGAAGCACAAAGACAAGCGATGCGACAAAGATAATATCGAATATGAAAAGTAAGTTAACACTTTTTCTCTCCAAAATGCCTCATGAAAGTGAGGCACAGTGAAGCACTAGATTTTGAATATTGTTAATTATTGTTTAATTGACTTTGCCCCAAGTTATAATGGCATAGAGTGCAATGTTTTCAGCCTCAGGTACTGAAATGTTTAGGGCAAGCTCAGAATTGTTGGGTTATAAAAAGAGGAATCAGCATCTTTTAAAAAATGCAAATTCTATAGAGATTCTACTGGGATAAAAACTGGGATATATGTGGAAAATCTTGTTTGTTTTATGCCCCTTTTTGTCATTAGGATGTTTGCTCAAACTAGTAAGGCTAAATTGTCCTAATCTTTTTCACTTTCAGAACAGGCCTGGAAAATGTCTAATGAAAAGTGGCTTTGAGAGTATATAGAATATTTCTCTCCAACTAGTGAATCATAGAATCATAGGGCTAGACCGGACCTTGGAGGTCTTCTAGTGATCCAGTGTTTCTCAACCTTGGCAACTTTAAAACATGTGGACTTCAACTCCTAGAATTCCGTAGCCAGCCAAGCTGGGGAATTTTGGGAATTGAAGTCCACACATCTTAAAGTTGCCAAGGTTGAGAAATACTGTTCTAGTCCAATCCCCTGCTCATGTCAGGCGTCCTTATAATGAAATATCTGGAACAAACAGTTGTCCAATCTTTTCTTGTCCAGGATGGTATAAGGACTCCTGCCTTTGAAGTCAACTTCCATTTTTGTAGGATAAAAGACAAAGACACAAATTAATTTCCTCTCCCCCGTTCCTGAGATTTGACACCTCCCTATTTCAGCATTCAAATGTTGGTTATTCTCAGTATTTTACATGATTTATAGAGCTGAAGCAATATGCATTGTCTTCTGCAGTATTAAAACTAAAGGTCAGTAGAGATAGCTAAGCAATCGTTGCTAATGTTTTATCTTTTGGGCTTCTTAACAACTAAGTTTGAAGACTTCTGTGCAACTTTTAAGCTTGCATGGGACATTTACAGCACTGTAATAAAAGAGTTGTGTTAGATGCATAGTTAGTGTTTCATGTTCAGTTCTGGAAGCAACATCTGGTTTATAATCTTCCACTAATCTGCATATCTGATTTATTGAAATTGACATACCTTGCAAATTATCTTCAGAAGGGAGGAGAATTTGTCTCACTGGTTCATTGGTTCTTTTATATAGTCATGTTTATCCTTCCCCTGATTTTTCTTGAAGAGTCTTTTCGGTTTTTAAAGAAATATTTATCCAGTTTTCAAAGGTACAATGGCATTGGACTTCTATTTATCATTGTGTGTCTTCACAAATTCATTTTTTGCAATAAGCGTGTTTTTAAAATTTGTTTTTTTATCCTGTCTTTATTACGGTTTATAAATAACTCCAGACTGCAAACATACCTTTTTTCCTATTTTCCCCACAACAACGACCCTGTGAGGTGGATTGGCCTGAAAGATTGTGACTGACCCAAAGTCACCCAGCCAGTTTTTCATGCCTAGGGTGGGAGAATTTGTTTAAGTTAGGGAACAAATCTGTTGATAATGTTAGAAGGTAAATCCACCCTGTTTTAACCCTTGGGTATGAGCTGAAACTGAGTGCATAGTAGTGTGCAAGATATTTGTGTGAAAGGTTGGCCAACATGTCGTCAGAATAGTGATGAAACCATATATCTCATATTTTTTAAAGAATATACAGTGCAAATAGATTACTTTTGACTGATAAGCAAAAATCTGCAAGGATCTTTCTGTGACACCTTTTTCTATTTTTTTCTAGATGAAATATATGACAGTACTTTGCATATAACAACATACTCTAATCTGCTTTAGAAATATTTTACACTTTTATTGCTGCTTAATCCCATAAAATAAAAGGGTGTTATAGGAGCATGGTTTTGAGTTTTTGGTATTCTGAGCAATTGATTGTTATTTTTTTTCTCATTTGTCAGTCTTATAAAAGCACCATCTTCTGGCAAACAGAGACGGATTTCAAGTGACAGAAAATCAAATTGTTGTGATGCAAAGATAATTGTTCCCTGGCTTTATTATACTGTATGTATGTTTTCCCTATACGCTTCCTCCACACCCTTCAACATTTCATTATTTATTTATATCCCACCTTTATTATTTGTATAAATAACTCAAGGTGACTACTACTCGTTCCTCCTCCTTCCCCCCCCCCCACTACAACAGCCCTGTGAGGCAGTTGGGATAAGAGACAGTGATTGGCCCAAAGTCCCCCAGCTGGTTTTCATACCTAAGGTGGGACTAGAACTTACAGTCTTCTGGTGATTGGCCTGAAGTCACACCGCATGCTTTCTTGCCTAAGGTAGGACTAGAACTCGCCATCTCGTGGTTTCTAGCCTGGTAATTTTCTGGCCACCAATTTATCATAGACATTAGTGTGTTTGTATATCTGTGTACTATTATTATGAAGTTCTCAGATAATATTTCTGTACTTCAAGGAAAAGGTATCCAGTTTTTTTCCCTGAGAGATATTTGTGAAAGAACTTCTGGATTTATTCCAGATTGTGAAAACAAATTTTTCAGCATACAGGTCTCTTTCCAGATCCAGCAACTGTGCTTGTCCTATTCCCCCAACTTGTTAAAACTCTGCTCATTAAGCTGCTTTACAAAAAGAGTGTGGGATAAATGCAGAAAAAAGGGCTAATAGATCAAAATCCAACATCTTTTTTTATTATATATTTTATTTTTTTCAGGGTAGGGAAAAGCAAGGGTCATTATGAATGGTGGGGTTCAGGGTGGGGTTCAAGGGAGGATTTAGGGTGGGAATGGGTACAACAATGGGGTTGCCCCCAATAACATTTCACGCTTTAGAAAGCAAACTATCATCCAGATACAAGTATTCCACAGGGTTAATATAATGATCAGTAACTGTAATCAACAAAAATAACAGAGATTATAAAGCATATCAATTAATCCAAAGAAAAAATCAATCATCTTAATAAATTTCAATTTCATTATCTCATTTTGCTAACCATTGATAAAAGTTTTCCCATGTTTTATGATAAACTGAGTCTTCTTTCTCTTTAATCTCTAACATTAATCTATCCATTTCTGCACATTCTAAAATTTTCCTAATTATAATTTCATCGGGTGGTGTATCTTCATTTTTCCAGTATTGGGCAAATGCTATTCTCGCAGCTGTCAATATATGTAATATTAAATACTCGTTCTCTTTCCCATAATTAGATCCTAGTATTCCTCGCAGAAACAATTCTGGCCTAAATTCTATATGTATTTTAGTTATCTTTTCCAGCCATATATGAATCTTACACCAGAATTTCTTTGCACTAGGGCACACCCACCAGATGTGATAATAAGTGCCTGGTTTTTGTTTACACTTCCAACAGTTATTCAAAACATTTTTAAACATTTTCGCTAACCTTACTGGTGTTATGTGCCATCTGTAAAACATTTTATACAAATTTTCTTTATATGAATTTTCTTTATATAAATTGCTTTATTAATTTGATGTTTCTGTCCCATAGTTTTTGCCAAGCTTCTAAATCTATAGAATATCCAAAGTTTTTTGCCCAACATCTTGAAGAATATCTGCCCCCGCAAAGGGTGTTCAGACCAGAAAATGAGACAAAGTGATGTTAAAAGATGGGGGAGGGGAGGGAGATGGACATGTATATATTTATATGCATAGCAATGCATCTCCTCCGACATAAAAATGCTGTGGAAGACCAGATTTGAGCATAGGATATTTGATGAATCAGGCAAGGAAGTTGCTTTGTATCTTTTCTTCTCACCTTGAGAAATCTTTTGCTCTGCAGGCTTGTGCTGATATAGAATGTAATTTTTGGTTTCAGGGAGAGTAACAGATGGTGAGTCATTTCTCTGATCTTCCTTTTCTTTGACACCATCCCCTTCTATATCACTGCTCAGTTTTCTGGATGGGAAAGATAACACAGAGGGATTCTTTTTCCAGGCATCTCCTCATTAAAACTCAGATAATCTAACCAGATCAGTTTCCATTTTCATCCCTCGCCAGAATTCAAAGAAAACACAGTGAATATTGTAGTGATTTCACCAATACACATTTGATAAGACTCAACCTCAGAGGCCAGTTTACACAGGCACAAACGTTACTTGTGGCTCCGAGACAGATAGGTTAACTATCTTAACTCCATAAATGTGCTGGAAAAGGTGAGGGACATGGAGGTTCATTTTATTTATTTATTATTTATTTATTTATGAGACTTATATACCGCTTTAAGTGCAAGCACTCTCTAAGCGGTGTACACCAGTAAGCAATGTATATATATATTTACATTGCCCCAACACTCTGGGTCCTCATTTTACCTACCTCGGAAGGATGGAAGGCTGAGTCAACCTTGAGCCGGTGAGATTTGAACCGCTGACCTGCTGAACACAGTCAGCTAAAGTGGCCTGCAGTACTGCACTCTAACTGCTGCACCACCTGGGCTCAAGATTTTGCTTGATCTTTTCTGGTTTAGTCATATAGATTTGCCCATGTTGTTAAACTACGGTTTGTTTATTTATTTATTGGTAACAAAGTCTTTGAATACCAGGTTTCTGTTTATGTATTCATAGCTGTTGACTAAACCCCTTCTGGAAACCGCTGTGGTTGAGTTCATGCAAAATGCTGAGGTAAAACCAAACAAACCACGATCTGGCTCATCATAATGGAGCGCATATTCAAACCAGCCCTTTGAGTTTCAGTCTCACCGTGGATTTAGATCAGGGGTAGTCAACCTTGGCTCTTTTATGACTCGTGGACTTCAACTCCCAGAATTCCTGAGCCAGCTAAGCTGGCTCAGGAATTCTGGGAGTTGAAGTCCACGAGTCATAAAAGAGCCAAGGTTGACTACCCCTGATTTAGATAGTGTTTGAAATCCAGGGCAAGATTCTTCTGCACTAATCCTGTTCACCAATACTGCAGAAGTGTGGTTTTGTGAGTGTTTCAATGGTTGCCTTGTATGATTCGGATAATAGTCTATAGGACAGAAAATTTTGATG